TGCCTTCCGAGAGCAGCAATCTGTTGGTATCACTCTTGTGGATCTGTGAGTAGACGGAGGACGTGTTTCTGCAGACACTTGGGTGGTATTAAGAAAAAAAGGGATGATTTTGGTCCGCAGAGGGGATGACATTAGCTGCAGGGTGAGAAGCTAAGAGGAAACCAACGCAAGCACTGAGGTTCTCTCTTGGAGAAAGTACTGCATGGGGTGCCGTGGGAGGCGGGCAGCCCAGCATGTTCTAGAAAGTTCGTCTTGGCGGATAGACATCAGGAAGCTAAAAAGAGAAACTAAATAATGTTGGGTTTCTGTCTTGCTGTGTTGAGTGTGTATAGTATAAGCTAGGCAAAAAGTGGAACAGAAAATTGCAAATGAATCAGTAAGTTGAAGGGAGATGTTCCCTAAGGAAGACTCGGAGAGGTTTCTTTCATCACTTCTGTTTATCCTAGACAGTGCAGCGGTGGCTTTTGTGAATGGGAATGGCCTGCAGAGGGAGTGTATCGAGAGGTACCTGAGACTGCTGGAGTCGTTTATGCCGAGGCCTGGGAGAACGTGGTCTCCTTAACTTTTCTTTTTCCACCTTGAAAAACTATTGATCAGCTCTTCCCGTAAAGGCTGTGCAGGTTCATTCACTGCACAGCTACGACTGAGGTATTTGAAAGACATAAGAAGTTCTTAAGATTCCTTTTTTTTTTAGGATTTGCAGCTGTAGATTGGGTTGAACAAAACTGGAGCTTGGGGTATTGTATGTGAGGAGAGACGTCTGCCCCGTGGCTGTGTGCTAAGGAAGTGTTTAGAAGCAGTGGACAGATGGATGGCTGGTCATCAGAGCTCAGCTGTTTCTTTGGGTTTGGTATTTCTTTGTAGCTTTATGTGGCTTCCTTTGACTGCCAGATCCCCCAAAAACCTTTTAGGAGAAACCCTGCTGTGTAGAGGCCTTTGCATCCTGGTGAAGTCTTGGGCTTCTGGTGTCTGACTTGGAGCGAGTCTTACTAATTGCGAGGGCGTGGGGACAGGGGGATCGCTGGGCAGCCAGGGACAGACTCATCCTTGCTGGAGCTCTGTAGGATCTGTTCTGAGAAATGTGAGGTGGCGGGCAAATGTTTCATGTGTGTTACGGTCTTGTCCGGTTTATGTCACTGGTGCAGGTACTGAGCATTTGATGTCTGCCAACACCACATTTGTTCCCTGATGTTGGTCATCTCTTCGGTTAGCGTGTGAGACTGCTGCAGCGTGTGTTCTGCCCCACCAGCTGTGGTTTGGAAAAGCGTGCTGCCAGCTCAGGAGAGAGGCTTGGTTCAGAGAGCGGACCCGCCTGGGCTGGCAGGAGGGGACTATTCCAACCAAAGCTTTCCTTCAGCCATCTGTGTACGGTCTGGGGAAGTGATGTTGCTGTTCTCCCCAGGGAAGAGCTTGCTGCCTGTCTTTAGTGAGGGTTTTTGTCTGGTGAGCAGCACAGGGAACAGGAGGAATCAGGCTGCGTTTGGCATGTGAGTTCCAGGCTGTGGTTCACATCTTCCCGGGGGATACCAGCCAGGTAAACTCTGGCTGAAGGACGGCAGCACCAACGCGTGGCCGTGTCACTCTCTGCTGCTCTAGGAAAGCTTTGCCACCCACTGGTCTCTTCTAAATATACTGACCCTCCTGGGGAGTTTGCTGTCTGGGGTAATAGGAGGGATGTGGTGGGTTAGCCCTTGGCTTGGGGCCAAGCAACACACACCCGCTCACACAATTCCTGCCCCCACCCAATGACAGGGGAGAGAATAAAAGGGTTAAATGGTAAAGAGGACTCGTGGGTTGAGATAAGGACAATTTAATAACTAAACTACAATAACCCACGACAAGGGGGAACAGTGGAGATACTCTGAAGCTATTTAAGAGTTGACAGGAATTTGTGAGAGAGCATCAGTGGCCCAGGAAGAAGTAAACTTCATATTTGCTTAACAGTCATCTCGTGCGGTGTTTAACTTGTTTGTTTTTAAACATTTTTCTTGAAAAGGGTCACTTGTTTTTAAGGTACCTTTGTTTCCTGCCGTTCAGCATGCAGTGATCTTCAGTGTGATGCAAACAGATGGGATGTATTAACGGCTACACAGTGGGCAGTCAGCTGTCTAATGTAACGTGTGTGTTATTCATGGCTTGTTTGGGAACCTTCACAAGTAGCTGTTGTCCATGGGTTTTTATTTATTATTCCTGTGTTGGGAATTTGTGGCAATGGCAGCTCCAGCTGCGCAGAGGTGGGTTGGTTACGACACACCAATAAGCCCTCACTCATGGTCCTGAATCAGACCTAAAATTTCTGGGGTTGGTTTCCAATCTGAGCGGAAAGGACAAATAGCGTCTGTGGAGTGGAAGGTTTGAGCTACAGTAAAAACATCCTCCTGCCTTTGGCTTTGTGCTGGCCCCAGGATTTCAAAGCAGAACGTGGCTTGGGAGCTTGTGGCAGAGCACAAAGGCGGGGTGGGCACGTGTCTTGAGTGCTGGTTAAGGAATGTGTCCAGGGGTCAGTGTCAGACGTGCTGACCAGCTGTGGGTGGAGTTAAATGGCGTTGGAGAGGCAGAGCTGAGCTGGACAGGGAAGTTGCTCTACCTGCCGCTTTTAAATTTGGTGTGGGTCTGAAAAGTATGGGTCCTGATACGGTGCGAGTAAGCTTGTTCTCACAGATGTGTGTAAGGAGGGGAAAATTCTCCTGGATCTTCCTGTCAATGTGAGAAATGGCATTAGAGGAAAAAATGTATCTTTGAATTATTTTTCACTTGAAGGTCAGTATTTCTTTGCTCTCCTTGGTGGCAGGAAGAGTCTCCTCACAGGTCTAGAGAGAAGAAAGTAGATCAATGTAGGAGGGAAGTAGAATATAATTTTATTTCCCAGCTGTATCTCAAATATTTGTTTATAATGAAACTACTGAAGGTTTATTAGGGCAATGTCCTGAACCCGTAGGAAGGATGTCTTTCCTTCAGCACCCGTGTTACGGCAACTGCCAGTCCTTCGTATCTAGATGGTGTCCACAGCCATGCAGGAGGAGGGCCACAGGGAGAGCAAAGGTGGGGTTGCCATATGAGGCTGAGGACGGCTCTTGCTTCTATGTTCAGGCTCCTGACTACTGTGGGGATTTAATTTGCTTTTAGCTCTTTTTTCTGTGGGAAAGGCACAGGAAGGAATGGTGTTCTGGTTGCAATTTAGTCATTATTAAAGTGGTTAACTGCTGGCACTACAGGGAGGACTCCTGGTTTCTTGTTTGGTTTTGTTTGTTTTTTCTTCCCAGCTCAGTATCACTACAAAAGTTTGTTAAAATCCCACGTCTGGACTTGTGGTCGGGCTGGTGGTACTGTGCAGGTGAGTTCCACTGTGAGCTGTGGTCACTCCTCGCCACGGCCCCACGGCAGCAATGTCTCCTCCTGCCCCTGCCCTGAAGCACCTCTTGTTTCTGTGGCACCTTGAGCACCTTTGAAAGCTCAGGGAGGGGTGAGAATTGGCCAGAGGGCTCAAAGCTCAGTGGGTTGGGGACTTGTCAGATGGCTGTTCATCTGCTGAAGAGCAGGAGACTCCAGAAGCAGGGCAGGTGGGGGAACCGCAGGATTCCTCCTTGGTTTTAAGACCTGCTCCAGGCAAAGGGAGTACCAGCGGCAGCCTCCTCCGGAGGTGGCTCTGTTCCTGCCCTGTATTCTCGCGTCGCGCTGGTTGCTGTGGCTGTGGGTTACCTGTACAGCAACGTCTGTATTGCAGCTTCTCTACTCTTTTGAGCTTTGCCTTGGGGCTGTGAAGAAACGTCCAAACAAACTGGTGTTGTTGGAGTTGTCATTTGGCTTCCTAGTAGGGATCTTAAAATCAGAAATTTAAAAAAAAATAGCTTAGTTGCACTAAGATTTTCTGGAAAGACAGAGCTTATGCAGGATATGATGAGCGATGTGCTGTGGCTGGCGGCTCTGCCTTCGCAGGAGCGTGGAGTAGTCTGCTTGTTCCCACAGAGACTCATAATCACCGCTTGTGCTGCAGCGGGCTGAGCCGCTGTCGCTGTTATGAGTGTGCTTTGTGCTCTGTGCCTGCTGTTCTGGTGGAGAGCGTGCTGAAGAAGGGAAGGATGCTTTTCTTGCCTCTCTTACAGTTTCTCCACTTCAATTACCGTTGGTAAGCACATGGCAACTTAAGCAGAGTGGATTGGTGTGGATTTACCCTGTGCTGGCTTCTCTGGTCACTGTGCCTGTGTGTGTTCTGTCCAGAGGAAGGATGAAGTAGCTTGTGTCTGTTCACACCGACAGTTTATTGCCACTTGGGTGGAATGGGGAGAGCACAGCCCCAGGTGCTTCCAGCAGGGTAGCTCGTGCTGTAAGTGATGACGGTGACCTGCCTGGGTGCTCGTTCATCCCGACGGCCAGAGTGACTGAGCCTCCAGGCTGGCTGGGATACGGGCAGCAGATGGTGTACCTGGTGAGAAAGATCCTCTCCTTGTGCTAATGCAGGAGGCTCGTGGGGGAAACCAAAGGAAAGGTGGCCCTCAAAAGATTGGGGGTACTGGTTAGAGGGGTAATTAGCTCGTGGAGTTTGTAACACCACCCCAAGGCATTAGCAGCAGTCGCTCCCCAGCGGTTATTGTCGGGCGTTTGCGGCCGGCCATGCCATGTCTCCTGCACATGCGTGTGACACTGTTGGTGCTGTTCTCCAGCTAATCAGACTGGAAAAGCTGGGAAGTGACTTAGCAATGCCGTGAGACGTTCAGCCATCTGTATTCCCCGTGTGCAGTTCAGCTGAACTGACGGTGGCGTGGCATCGTCTGTGTGTCAGTGCTGAACAGGACGGGCATTGCAGCTGCAGAAAGCTCCCGTGCATCCTGGTCTGAAAACCCATGGGATTTAGTGCAGCATCTCCATGGTAGATGCGGGGTCAGGCTGTACTGTAGCAATCCTCAGCCATTGAGTCCTCCAACTGTAAGGGTTTAATTGAATTTGACTGTCTTGTGCTACTGTGATTGTGCTCTCCACTGCACAAATCCTGTTTTCCTGAGCTGCCACTCGTACAGAGAGTATGAAGCGCGTTTGGAGAGATACAGTGAACGCATCTGGACGTGCAAAAGCACAGGAAGCAGCCAGCTGACACACAAAGAGGCTTGGGAGGAGGAGCAGGAAGTTGCTGAGCTGTAAGTACCAGGGAAGGAATTGGCATGTGTCTTATCATTGGGCCTTGGGGCAGAAGGGTGGACTTGGGGATGATGTGTGATTGCTGATTTATGAGGTGAGGTAAGCAGCTTTTTACTGGCTCTAAGGAGATCTGGGGTTCTGGAGCTGAAAGCAAAAAAGGTCCAAAATTGATGCCATCACTAATGCAGTTGAGTAATGTACTTATTTAGTGCTCTGTCTTGGTGTTACTTGAACCAGAATAGTTCAGCGTGTGGTACTTGGCATATTTTGAAGCCCCTTGAGTAATGGGATTTTTTTCAGAGGGGGGAAAAAAAAAATCTTGAAGGTGCTAGAGTAACAATACAGTGAAAAGGGGCCTTTGAAGTGTTCAAATCAGCCAGGTCCACAGCTGGAACTGTTTTTTCCAGATCTGCCTTGGAATCAGTTGTTGTACTAAATAAAAAAATAATTTTGGAGTGAGATTTTGGGGATCTCCCCTACTTGAAACAATAAAGAGCAAAGGGAAACCAGCAAGAGTGGTTACTCTGTTCAGCCACCAGTGTCCCTGACCTCCCCGGTAGCACACGGCTGAGATCCAGCGTGACCCTTGCCATGGACGTGAATTTTCTGTAAAGGTGCAAGACTATGGCTCCACCAACATATAGAACTTATTTTGTGATTACCAAATTGTAGGAATTGTGCCAAACAAATGACATGTTTTTCTGTTCTGTGAACTTGGACTTCTGTGACTTTTTTTCCCTGGTTTTGAACTGGGGACGTTCTCAGCAGCACCTAAGAGGTGACATTTTCTGTTTCTCTTCTGTGAAGAATCCATGTTTTGGATTCACTGCCAAAAGATTTACTAGCCTTAGCCTAAGGAGAAATTCCCCATCATTTGAGGTTAATCACACCCTTAAAGGCGACAAACAAGAAACTATTTGCCAATAGTCCCAATTTCTATGGGGGCTGAAGCACTGTAGAGTCCTCACCCCATCCTTCCGCAGTTGGCTCCGTAAATTTCTAATTCTGAGACAGAAGCCACTGGTCTGGTGTCACTTACTGCTGGTTAACCATGGTGGGTTGGTTGTCCAATTCTGAAAACGTTAAGAAACATAAATGAAATATAAATGGAAGATTTCTCAGTAACAACTTTAGCTATAGTCTCTCTAAATGGGGGGAAAAAGAGACTCTGTAAAATGAGATTTTGGTCTTGTCTCTTTGAAACAGGATTAAAAGCTTCCCAGGCAGTTTGCTGGCTTCTTTAAAACACTTGACAGTAGTCTAAATAAAAAAAGTTCATTTAGGCCATTTGGTAAAGTGATAAATCTGTTCACGGCAGTTCCAGAACAGCAAATACAGCTGAGGATTGTCAGCAATGGAGCCCTGAGTGTGGGCAGCTCAAAGGGGTTTGGAAAAAGGGGGAATTTTGTTCCTCCTTACAGTAACTTGAAAGGGACTTACTTTTTAGCTAGAACGTTTTATGCAATATATTTCTTGGTACTCCTGATCTTTCAGAAAGGAAATCAGTCCAGTAAACTTGTAACAGCCCTTTCCGTTCTTTGAATGAAAATGTTTGAAGATGATGACACTGTGAGGCACACAATATTTTTCTCTGGAAAGATAACCTGACCGTGTAAGCCTGCCTCTGTCTTCTTTACTGTGTTAGCAGTCTGTAAGCCCAGCATTTGGGAAGAAAGAAAATCTAAATGTTCATCAGTATTGTGCTGTTGTTGAAAGCAAAAAAAAAAAAAAATAAAGTAACAAGCCCCAGAATAAAGACACGTTATCTTCGTAGATATCAACCGTCTAATCAGGAGGCAGTAATAACCGGTGAGAAGGGTTCACCAGGGGCGCTGCTCCTCCACCTTTCTGCTTTATGGTGTTCCTTCTGGGAAGGACAAGGAGGATCTGTATTGTCGTGCCAGTTAACACTTGGGAAGGGTGCTGGGGGAGGGCACCCAGAGCCCTTGGATGTTTGCATGCTAGTGCAGCATCTGCCCCAGACATTGTCCTGGCTGTTAATGGTCCCGGAATTGTGAGATGGGAGCTACTGTCCATTTGGGCCTTTGTTCCATGAATAATGAAAACCTCTGCTTGCTCAGCTTGAAGGAGGAGTTCCCCATCTGGTATGAGAAGCTGGTACTGGAAATAGTCCACCACAACACCGTGTCTTTGGAGAAGCTGGTGGATGCAGCGTGGCTGGAGATCATGACCAAGTTTGCTGTGGGAGAAGAGTGTGACTTTGAGGTGAGGATCTGATTCCTGTGTTGTCCTGTGCTTTTGCACAGAGCCGATTTTGGATATTTAGAGGCAGGAGAAGTGGTGAAGAATATGTTAGCCACTGACATTATCAGAAGGATGGTGAGAATTACTTTCCTGTGGAATCCCAGTGACAGCACCTGCTTTTGGATGCAAGCTGGTTCCATAAGCAGAAGCGTGTGGATGCCCCATGCTGACAGCAAGAGAAAAATGATCTTTGTGTGTGCGGGGGGAGAGAGATCTGTTATACTGCTCTAAATATGTTGTGGTCTGTGTATATATAAATATATATGAAGATAAGTATTTTAGTTAGAAGTAGTTAAAAATGATAATCTGCTCTAGTCTTTTCCCCTAACGTGTTCCCAGAAGGAGCAGCAGTCTTAAACTGGTGTCGCTTGAAGTCAATTGCTGAGAGGTATCTAATGATGCTCTAACGATTTGAAAATTCCCTCCAAAAGTGGGAATGGTGGGAAAAACTCAAATGTGTTAAAAATGAGGGAAAGCTATAAAACGTCATCTGTTAGCAATCTGTTCAGGACATACTCTGCCAGCAGGGGCTGCTGAGGGAACACACTTGCACCGTGCAGACACACACTCGTTCCCTGGGCTGAGAAAAGCGTGGAACCCTGGAAAAACTTGTGGGTTGGCAGATCTCTCTTTCTTAACAGTTTATACAGAGCTTCCAGGTGGGAGTAGTAGAAAGAATCCTGTAATTGTTCCATGAGAGGGATCATGAGTTCAGTGTTCTGTCAAATTACGGTTTGTAGGTAATCTCAGTTACATTTTTTCCTTCCTTGTAGTGTGAAAGCTTATGAGTTCATGTGTCTTGCTCAGGTTCAGGTTTCATAAATATTTCCATGCAGGTTGGTAAGGAGAAAACGTTGCCTGTGAAAGTTGTGAAAATACATCCTCTGGAGAAAGTAGATGAAGAAGCCTCGGAGAAGAAATCTGATGGAGCCTGTGATTCCCCATCTAGTGACAAAGAGAACTCCAGCCAGGCAGCCCAGGACAACCAGAAGGAAGCTGTCCTGAAGGAGGATGACAGCAGGAGGGAAAGCATGAGTAAGTAGTACGGCCGCATGCCAGTAGGTAGCACCTGGAAGTGAGCATTTGCATTCCTGTGAGTTCTGGGCCTGGGCTGCGAGTGTTTTTTATGTGATGTTTAAACAGTGTTACTTAATGAAAATCCTGAAGCGGTCATTGCTGGTAGTGCAGCTTTGGTGGCACCAGTGCTGTTGGCTTTCAACTGTTCTTGCCTGTTTTAGAGCAGAAGGTGTGCTGTCATCATTCTAAGGTGTAATACCAAAAGCTATGCATGAAACAAAAAAGCTTTGAAAGTATAAAAAGTGTATTTAACAAAAAAAAGAGGATGAGAGGGGGTGAACAGCAAAGTTTCACGCAGAGTCATAAAGTTCCGCCGTGATGTTCATCCTCAGAACAAACATCTCTGGTTCTGAAGCCTGTTGTTCTGCAGTCAGAGACAAGCTCTAATTTTCTTTCATGTCCCCAGTTGATGCAAAAAACAAGTTGGTTTTTTTAAGTTTGGTTTGTCTTCTTCCAAATGCTGAGACAAAATTCACGCAGAAAAATGCGTATTAATTTTTTTCCTGAGGCTTCAAAATAAAGCATGCTTTGAAATGTTGTTCTCCTCTTTTGTAACTGCTCGTCCTTGCTGCAGAGCTAAACAGTGGATGTTAAAGGCCTTTCTTGACTCTGGGAAGGTACTGTCGAAAGAGGGGAAAAAAAATAGTTTCATGTCCTGTGTGACTTCTTAAAAATAAGATTCTTTAAAGAATATTTCAAAAAGTGTTTTAAACAAAAACAATCCCACAACATAGCTCTAATCTGGATAGCTTCATTTTTAAGGCGCATAAATATAATAAACTGTTGACATTTGTCAATAGCCACTCCAACGTCTGGGGAAGGTGTATAGAGCCTCCTCTAGTGTGGAGAAGAGGAAACTCAGAAAACAGCCCAGCGAGCTAGTAGCAAAGTCAGGAGTGGAAAACAAGTTCTACCAAGCTCTAGTCCCAAGCTTAATAATTGTCAACTGTTTCTGATTGGTAGTGGGAAAAGTTATGAGATGTTTTGATTTCATTGCAGTGCTCTGTATAATCCGGAAGGAAAAACAAAAAAGTGTTGGAAAAAAGATCTGGCCTTGTGCTCATCCTTTGAAACAACAGTAGTGCTTGGAGAGGGACTAATACATGCTTTTTCTTTTTAATTGAGTGGTAGTTCTCTTGACCTACCCCATAAAAGGTGTGGGAAGAACCTTTTACTTTAAAAATGCGCATTGACCGAATTTACAGCAGCATTTTCAGGGTTGGGCGTCTAGTAAAATCTACCGTGGTGCTGTGTTCACTAGTGTGCGGTGTTCTCACCAGCTGTGTTCAGCTCTGCTCTCGCTGGCATTGCTGGTGTGGGGCTCTGAGGCTGGAGGAATGCTGCAGCAACGGGGATTCCTGCGCCTTTCCCAGTCTCTGCCCTGTCTCCAGTTGCTGCTTTAACTGGGGACCGTCCTCCCCTTTCTGTAAAGGGTGACCCTCACCATTTCCAGATCAGAGATGCCAGCAGGGTCGTACCATAATCTGGAAAAGCAATCAGCAGCCATTCCTTTAACTCTTGTACATTTGCATTTATTAAAAGGATATCTTATTGCTGATGCTTCTGGATTCTGGGCTGTTCATGGTAAACTCGTCGTTGAATCTCCAGTCCAGAGCCTATTGAAATAACTCCCTGACACTTGTTCCATTTACACAGCAGCTGCAGGAGCAGTACAGACTTGCTTTCCTGTAGTGGGTTCAGCCCCGGCTGCGCCCGCAGGAAGCTCTGTGCAGGGTCTGAGGTACCTGGCCACACTTTGACTTTCTCTTTCTGGTGGTTTGTGTCCGTTACCAGTGGTGACGCGGGCTGAGGTCACTACGCCAGAGGGAGCGTTTGCAGCAGTGACAGGCCCTGGGTGCCATGCCAGAGCTGTACATTGTGTGTGTGCACACGAGGGGCAGGGTTACCCGCAGCACCTGCACCAACACCTCCAACTTACTGATTTGGTTGGAGGAGAAAAGGGGCAGAGAAAGAGCTTCAGTCTCGCTGATGAGGAGTCTGCTGTGCTTCAGAAGGTAAAAATATGGCTTTATACCGGCTTCATTGTATCACGCGTGCAGTCTGAAGTATTTTCAGTTGCTTAGGGAGTGAACTCTGGAAAATCTGCGGCAGTGAGAGGAAAGGCTGGTTTCTCCTGAGAATGGATGGTGAGCTGCTGGAGGCAGGTTCTGCAGCTGGAGCTGCACTTGGAACGGATACTGCTTTGGAAAATCCGCAATAAGGGGTGAAGAGAAGGAGACAACAGTGTATGGGTGCTTTATGAGCTTCCAGCAGTGCAGTGAATTTAAGGTTTGGGTTTTTTACTACAGTACAGTGCAACAACAAAGGAATTACGCTTTTTGTAAAACCACTTCAGGTAGGAATGTACAGTGATTTCTTCTTCCCCGCCTCTGGGTATCCACGTGCCGTTTATTAGAATTCAGTGCAGTCATCCCTGCTTCTAGAATCTAGAAAGTAAGTCCCAAAAGGAGAGGTTGCTTACGGGCCTGTTGCAGAGGCAGCGGTGTAACTGTGTCCTTCAAAGCCAGAGCCAGGACTCGGCGACACTTGGTCATTTCTTAAATATAAACCTGCTGTCTGTGGTACAGACATCAGCAAAGGTAAGAGTCACTTCAAAGGCGTTGGGGCAGAGCTCTGAGAGCAGAGCGCTTACAGAGCTGGGACTGTCCTGTAGGTGACGTCCCTTGTGGCGCTGAGCAGGAAACATAGTTCAGTACTTGTCAACTTATCAAGATTTTTTTTTTTTAATACAAAGGAACCAAAGCAGACAGCAGTTGTGTCTCAGCCTGGCTTGTGGTGAGAGGATGAGTCTCCTTTCACATGGGCTGTCCCTGTTAGGGAATTCAGGGGCTTTATGTTAAAGAAAAACCTCTCTGGTGAGTGATGCGTGGAGCAGAGGGTTCTCCGTTGTGTTATCGGAGAGGCAGCACGGACGTGGGAGGTCTCTGCACGTTTCTGTACATCTGTGATCCCTGACCAAGGTGACTGGTTTTGGAAGGCAGATGGGGGGCAGAACTTGGTTTTACACCATGTGAGCTTTAATGCTGCTGAGGCTTAAATGCTGTAGGGGTGCCAGTGGGACGATGATGTAAATATACATGAAGTCTGAGTAAGGGCTGGCATCGACCTGTGTTCTGCATCTACCTGGTGGATAGTTATCCTCAGCTGTTGTGCTTGCTTTAGTGTTTGCTTTGAGTCACAGCCACAAACAGAAAAACATTTGGGGATCGCTTTCTTCAGTAAGCTTGGATTTTGTCTTAAATTATGAACATTTACAACCCAAATATAGAAATAACAGACTCAACACCAGCTGGCAAGAAGATGTGATGCCTTTGTACTCTTGTGGTTACGTCTCTCTTGCGAATGAACAGACTGGTTGTGTGAGTATGTCTGAAATCTCCAGCTAAACTAACCCGGGTACACAAGGCTCTTAGCTGTAAAGTGCTAATAGCCACCCAAGTTAAATGATTTTAAAAGTTCCTTTAATTTAGAGTCAGTTATTCCTGCAGCAGAATTATTTCAAATCTTGCGTGGCAGAGACAGCTCGGGCTCTCAGCAGGAGCTCCCTGAGCAGGTCACTGGCCAGGTTATGAAACCTGTCTCCCCTTTGTGGATTTCAGAGATGTTTCCTCCCTTCACACAGGTAGTAGCAGCTTGTTTGTAGGGAGATGGGTTTAAATACTGCAAGAGGTTATTTGTACTCCTTGGAGGTGGGTGTTACCTCCTACTGCAGAGCTGTCTAGGGACTCCATTCGTCAGGATATTTCTAAAACCTGACTTGGCATTTTTTTCCTGATGTTCTAGTTTAACCCAACACTGTACAGATTGCAGGGGTGAGGTGCCCACTCCAGTGACGCTCTGCATTCTTTAACTTTTTTTTTTTTTCAGACTCTGATACTAAGACACTTAATATCTTGCTTTGTCAGATGATCGAGCACGAAGGTCTCCTCGGAAGCTTCCCACGTCTTTGAAGAAGGAAGAAAGGAAGTGGGTTCCACCTAAATTCCTGCCACACAAATACGATGTCAAGCTGAAAAATGAAGATAAGGTGAGTCGTCCACTTGGATCCTTTCTGTTATAACATGAACATGGAAGTTTAATTAAATAATCACTGTCGGTGTGACTGCACAGCACAATGCAGTGCTTTCTGTCCGAGTCGTGGCATGGGAAGCAGGGTGGCTGCAGGTATCTGTGGCTGGCTGGCCTGGCTCTTTCTGTAGGGAGACACCTGACAGTTCCCTGATATCACACACTGAGTCATGCTGCTGCAGAGCTTTAGAGTGGTTGCTGTTGACTGGCTAATCTCTGGTCAGGCAGTTAACAAAAGCTGGTCAGACTAGTTAAACCATGAGTGGCAATTGCTGCTCTTGTTGTAACCGAACTTCTCTGGGAGTTGTAGGTAGTTACAGGGATCTTCCCAGGTCATGCAGGGGTAAAATTAGGAAGGCAAAAGCCCAACTAGAACTCAACCTGGCTGCAGTGGTAAAAGATAATAAAAAATGTTTTTACAAATGCATCAACACCAAAAGGAGAGCTTTGGAGAATCTCCATTCCTTGTTGGATGCAGGAGGGAACATTGTCACCAAGGATGAGGAAAAGGCTGAGGTGCTTAATGCCTTCTTTGCCTCAGTCTTCAATAGTCAGACCAGTTATCCTCCGGATATACAACTCCCTGAGCTGGCAGGCAGGGACAATGACCAGGACAGCCTTCCCGCAATCCAGGAGGAAGCAGTTAATGACCTGCTACACCACCTGGGCACGCACAAGTCCATGGGGCCAGATGGGATCCACCCGAGAGTCCTGAGGGAGCTGGCAGGGGAGCTTGCCAAGCCACTCTCCATCATTTATCAACAGTCCTGGCTGACAGGGGAGGTCCCAGAAGACTGGAAACTTGCCGATGTGACGCCCACCTACAAGAAGGGCCGTAAGGAGGACCGGGCCTGTCAGTCTGCCCTCGGTACCGGGGAAGATTATGGAGTGTCCTCCCACGGCATGTACAGGACCCCCAGGGGATCAAGCCCAGCCAGCATGGGTTCATGAAAGGAAGGTCGTGCTTGACGAACCTGATCGCCTTCTACGACCTGGTGACCCGTCTAGTGGATGAGGG